TTAAGAAAAGTAGGTTTAGGCTAATAACTCCCGCATCGTTTGTCTCACATTCAAAAACCTTATATCTACGCATTCGGTGAATGGAGCTGCATCTCCCCATATAGGCCAAGCCTATTTCCGCCTATAAATTTTTTCCGCTACAGTGCGAAATGTCCATGCACAACGTTCCGCTTTCCATCTATACGTTTTTTTTATCCGATATTTAAAAAAATAAACATGTTATAAAATTAGCACTTTTTTCAAAAATCATTCAAAAAAGGAAGTGAGGCATTTCTCCACATTGGTATGTCTGATTGACACCAACCTGGGGTCAATAGTTCCTTATGTCTTCATTAGGCATCGTGCACAATTTCAGGCCATCGCCACAAGGTGGCGCTCTTTAAAATGAAGAAGTTTATATCTCCACATCGGCAAGTGTGATTAAAACGAAATTTGGTACAATGATTGCCCATGGCTCCCTGAGGCTCCCTTAAAAAGGACAAAAAACAGGCTACAAGGTGGCCCTCTGGTGGCAGGGTAAATCAATCTGCAAAGACCGTAATACTTATGATATGAAATTCACAGGGCACGTGTAGACTGGTGCCTGTAGCTCACATACCAAAAATTGTGTTTGTCGTGTTTGTAGCGCCCCCTACAGTATTTCAACAAGGCATCCCCGGCCCCACGTTTCACCAATATGTATGAAACTCGATACTCGAGACCTACAGAAAAGCCTCTTGGACCCATGCCCCAAAACCCACAGGAAGTCAGCCATTTTGATTTTAATTTACACTCTCAGCGGCCATTTTGTTTTTAATTTTCACTTTTTTGCCTTGTATTTGAACAAACTACTCCTAGGGAATTTATCGGATTGGCTTCAATATTGGTCAGTACAGTCAAAAAATGTTGCTGAATGAACGCCGCACTTTTTGTGACTGTACGTTGAAGGGCGTGTCCGTGGTGTGCCGTCAAAGTTGGCCATTTTGAATTCTGTGGTCTTGTATTTGAACAAACAAACTCCTAGGATATTTATCAGATCTGCTTCAAAACTGGACAGTACACTTGAATAATGTTGCTGATTACAAGTTGTGCTATTTGTGACTGTACGTTGAAGGGCGTGTCCTAGGCGTGCCGTCAAAGTTGGCCATTTTGAATTCTGTGGTCATTTTTGGTGAATTCTTGCCTTCTATTTGAATTAGCTCCTCATAGGGGACTTATCGGATCTACTTCACAATTGGACAGTATAATCAAAAATGTTGCTTATTGAACACCGTGCTATTTGTGACTGTACGGTGAAGGGCGTGTCCGTGGCGTGCCATTAAAGTTGGCCATTTTGAATACTAATTTTTCGCATTGTATTTGAACGAACTCCTCATAGGGGACTTATCTTTTTCTCTCAGACATTTTTATTGAATTCTAATCGCAAATACAGAAATGTTCATACAGTGAACTTTTTTTTTTTCAAAGTGATAAAACACAAACTCCACTCCCACAAGCCACATCTACAAACCATATTTCCTACGGAGTATTGTTCCTGGAGTATTGTAGGAAACCGTATTAAAGTAAGTATTAAATTATAAGATAAATAGGGGACTCAAATCTACTTCAAAATTAGTCAGTACAGTCAACATATGTTGTTGATTAAAAGTTGTGCTATTTGTGACTGTCCCCCATCGTTGTTGTCGTCATCGTCATCATCTTCTTCATGTTCATCATCATCACCATCAGTTACAACAACAGCTAACAGCTACTGTTGTTGCTGTGCACCTTTGTCTCTGTCCTTCTATCTATCTATCTATCTATCTATCTATCTATCTATCTATCTATCTATCTATCTATCTATCTATCTCTTTTTCTCTAACCCCAACAGACGGCCACCACCTAGAGCCGGGGCCTGTCCGAGGTTTCTGCCTCTTAAAAGGAAGTTTTTCTTTGCCACCGTCACCAAGTGCTTGCTCATGGTAAAGCTGCAGTAGGTAATTTTTGTAAAAATAACTTTTTGCTATATTTTCTTAAACTTTTACAATATACTGACAGTAGTACATGAGACAGATAATCTGTGAAAAAAATCCTCCTCCTAGTGCTCCTAGTGGTATTTGCAAGAATCCACCGTGCCTGAATGAAAACAACCAATCAGGAAAAAAAAGTATTTTTACAAAAGTGACCCACTGCAGCTTTAATTTCATCTTCTCAATGCTGGTTGTCCAGCTTTTGTTAGCAAAAGCTCTTTATTTGTTTGTCAGTTATTATTCGAGAACTTGGAAGAGACCTACAGGAGACTAACACGTACCAGCCAATCCCTAATCATCATAATGAGTTGTCAATACACCCAGCTCCATCTAGCTGGTGGATGTGCTGTACTGGAGTGTGGTAATGTCTACTGTGCCCTCACATGAACATACACACTCCATCTACCTCTGAGCGTTGGTGTGAATTCCCAGCAGGCAGTGGGGTCTGTGAAGGGCTCTTGGCAGGGAAGATGAGACGCTGTGACCTTTCACCAGCAGTGGCTTCTGGGAGTTAGATAAGTGTGCTCTCTGGAGTTTTATATGCCTCACAACACTGACATTTGTGTAACTTCCCGCTGCTCCTCAGGCTGTTTCTGGGTTTATGGAAAGAAATACCCTGCTGTTGAGTAAGGGTTAGAGCCAAAAATGCTATTTAGTGACAAAGATGTAAACTGTGAAATAAATAACTTAATGAAACATCACTCACAAGCTTGGCTGTTGCTTATGATCAGTTATTTGAATTATTATCTTAGTGTTTCTGTTATGCAGCTGTATTTGATAATGTAATTAAAACAAGTGTAGAGTATATGGGAAGGTATCCAGAAAATGCAACTGGCAACAGACTGATTATGAAATACAAACTTCTTCAAATATGTAGTCAATTTCATCTTACCAACTGTTGTTTTATTTGTATAGCACCAATTCATAACAAAAGTTATCTCAGGACACTTTTCAAATAGAGCAGGTCTAGACCGAACTCCTTATAATATTATTTACAGAGACCTAACAGTCGGATCGGCCGCGGCTCTATACTGATAAATGACTGACAATGATGATGATAACAACAGCCACAACGACGATGGACAAAAATAATAGTAATAATAATAATAATAATAATAATAATAATAATAATAATGATGATAAAAATAATAATAATAATAGCAGTGGGAGTCAAGCAGGACCATGGCAGCAGGCACCACCAGGATCCATGAGAACCTGAACAAGAAAGCACAAGAACTCCGGGGAAGAAGTGAAGTTAGTAACATGCATTAATGGGACATGAATGAGTGCAGAAAGAGAGAGAGAGGAAGAGAGGAGCTCAGTGCACCATGGGAAATCCCCCGGCAGTCTAGGCCTATAGCAGCATAACTAAGGGATGGTTCAGGACTCACCTGATCCAGCCCTAACTATAAGCTTTATCAAAAAGGAACGTCTTAAGCCTACTGTTAAATGTGGTGAGGGTGTCTGCCTCCCGAACCACAACTGGAAGCTGGTTCCACAGGAGAGGAGCTTGGTAACTGAAGGCTCTAGCTCCTGTTCTACTTTTAGAGACTATAGGAACCACAAGTAGCCCTGCATTCAGAGAGCGCAGGGTTTTAGTGGGGAATTTATTTTTCGATGTATAATCTTTTTTATATTTTAGCAGAAATAAAAAAAGAATAGACTTAAAACAAGCACAATATGAAATTAGACACAAATAGCACTTTACTTAAATAGCAGTGCACTTCAAGTGTAGAATATGAAATATACATATTTAATTTTGCTTTCACAATAAGATGGTAAATGGACTGTACTTAAATATCTCCATTCTAGTCTTCTGACCACTGTGCAAAATAATAGCAAAGTGGGCTCCAAGCTGTTCAGACCAGTGCTGGAGGTAATATGGACCACAAATTCAAAACCACATTCATATTTTTTGATCATGTCCGGTGTTAAGTATTTCTGGAAGGATGTTTTAGGAGAACCTGCTAAACGTATAACAGATGGTTGAAACCTGAAGCTCTAACATACAACATTTCAATGAAGCAGCCCCAGCAGCACATTATCATGCACATGCACATAAATCAGTAGGCCTATGTCTCATGTCCAGACATACAAAAAAGCCTCTTGAAGCCATATCCTAACTCGGCCATTTTTAAGTAAATGTGCATTTTCTGAAACTCCTACAATGTTATTCTGAAAACTGAACTGAAGACTGCAGTACTGATTGACAGGAAATATTAATCAGCTTCAACTGCTTTTGATGCTAGAATGCAGTTGCACTGTTATTGAAGGAGTCAGGAAATAATTGGCCTTTTTCCATCATTCTACAAGAAACTGTGATCTGATTTCATGCTGCACATAGCGTGAGCCTATGAACAGCGACAGTGAAAGTAACTTTGGTTACCTCGTTAAGAAGTTGAAGGTGTGCCTGTCACCCCCTGCTCTTTATCAAACCGCTCACTGTGGCTGATCCTTCTTGTTCCATTACTCCTTGCAACAATTCAAACAAATCCACTGTCAAAAACTGCAGAAAATAACAATAGCAAGAGGCCAGTCTTAAGCTCACTGAGAAACATATATTTCCTATGATGACTGCTTCACAATACAGGTAAACTTATGTTTCACCACTTAAAGGACCAGTGTGTAGGATTTAGTGGCATCTTGTTGCAGATTGCAACTCTCTTGTTTCACCCTCCCCTTCCAAGCTTTAAGGAGCCAGCGTTTGGTTTGTCCTCTATGGGCTACTGTAGAAACATTACCTTTATGGTTTGAATGTGTCTTTTACTAGCCATATTGTGCACTGGTGTGCTGAGCAACATGAATTTGGACTCATTGGTGAAGGGGTGGACAAAAACAGATTTACCTCTCTGATGTATAGAGTATGTGAGTGTATTTCTTGGAGGAATGTGAGAAGAACTAATTCCTTAACACGCTTTGCAGAACATGGTGATTAAAGCCTTAATCCTCCAGAAAATGATTAGCTTGAATTTTGTAGGCAATCCTATTTATGATTCCTCTCTTTCTTGGCAGGTCAGAGGTCAGTGAAGGCAGTGGTACCAGTGGATGGAGATGATGTCCATGCAAAGTAAGTTAGTTTTATATTGTTATATCTGCTGTATAATTTTAAAGCACATATCAATATTTTGTAACGTCTGAGGTTCCTTTAATGTGTTAAAGGTCTATTTAGGAGGATCTATTGTCAGAAAGGAAATGTATTTTTCATAGGTGTAAGTTTTATAACTAGGTTTGGGAACAAAGACCACGCCCTGCACTCATCTCATTTCCACTCAAACTTATTAAGCACACCTTATCCGTTCACTCCCTCCTTGACTCATTTTCCACATGATCGGCGTCAGACCGGAAACACAAAATTGAATACCTCGAACCACGGAGAACAAGCTCATCCTCAACCCTTCAGACAGCGACATGTTTGAAGACGAACAGCAAACTCACAAAATCTTCCTCACATACCACTCCTTCTCGTCAGCCACCCCAGCTCCGCTCAACAATCCACGTGCCCCGATGCTCCCAGCCTTCATCCACCGACAACTCCAACACCATCGGGCCTTCGCCCCCAACAGGTCCAAGGGAATCTTCGGCGTCTGACGGACATCCCTCAGCCGTAAACATACCCAAGTGGACGGTCACTCGCCCTCTCTCAGTGAAACACACCCTTCCAACGCACCGATAACAAAGCAAAACTTCTCCAACTTTCCACGCATTTCCAGGAAAGCCTCTTCCTCGCCAAGCTTCACCGCCGCTTTCGGGTTCCCGGCGATGAGTCCGCAGCAAAGCCGATGACGTCACAGCGCATCCCACAGCCCAGCCTTCCTCATCAGCCCTCTCAGAGGGCCAGGTCGTATCAAACCCAGTACCTGCCATTTCCGCTTCACAAACAACCCGAGCGCATGCATCCCTCCATCCCAGCATCCTTTTCTCTTCTCTGCTTTCTTTTTTCCCCCTTTTTTTAATTCATTTTCAGTTTTGTTAACATACAAACTATAAAGGAATCACCAGCCCCCCGCCCCCCACCCCACACCCTCATGGATAAAGAAATAGAAAAAACAAACAAACAAACAAACACAAAAAATAACAAAGACATGCTCTTATAGGATACAAAGCAATACAATTAGCAGAACAATCGGCACCAGCCATTGAATGGATGTCTACAATGTTTCATTGACCAAGAGTGTACACATGTGCAGTAGCCTATATACACGTACAAACATATATACATACACGAAAACACTTTAGGCCATTCTGGATAAATAAGACAGAAATGGTTGCCACATTTCGTCAAAGGTTGCAGAGCTGAGAGAAACATTATATCGAACCCTTTCCTTATGTAACAAGTTGGTTATTTCTGCTAGCCAGATTTTAAAAGAAGGCACATCTTCATTCTTCCAAAGGGTTTTTGCAATTACCACGCCATATTGTATTGTCTTTCGCTGCAAATGGGATAGAACTAATAGATGTCCCCCCCGCCTAGAATGGCAGTGCAAGGATCTGGTGTAATATCACAGTTATATACTTCAGAAAAGCACTTAAAAATATCTGACCAGAACTTGTTTAGCTTGGGGCAAGACCAAAAGAGGTCGCCCAGGGTGCCCTCAACTGATTTACATTTCGGGCAAATTGGAGAGACAGAAGGATAAAAAGAGTGTAGTTTGGTACAGGAGTAGTGCAGCCTATGAAGTATTTTAAATTGAATAAGTTGGTGTCTGGAATTTATGGAGCAACTGTTAATGTCTTTAAGGTAAATTCCCCAGCTTTCATCAGTGACTGTCACGCCCAGGTCTTTTTCCCAGGCTTCCGTTAAATATTGCGTTGAAACCGGGTCATGTGCTGTAAAAAGATCAACAAATCGAGAGACAAGCCTCCTTGAGTCGGGGGCCTGACTCATAAGAGAGTACAGTTCGATGGGGGCAGGAATTGAGTCAAAGTGTGATATATTATCCTAATCGGGAGGTAACGGAAGAAATGTGTATCTGAGAGTGTATACTTTTCCTTTAACAAAGCAAAAGTGACAAAATGTTGTTGATATAGAGGTCCGCTATAGTAATGATGCCTTTATTTTTCCAAAGTCTAAAAGTACTATCGGTAAATGAAGGGGGAAGGCGTGGTTATGGCAAACAGGAGTGCAAGTGGAGGATTTGGGCAGATTAAATGATTTCCTTATTTGATACCAGATTCTTAAAGAACTTGAAACCACAAAGTCATTACCTGTAATGGTAGTAGGAGAAGTGGTTAGTGAAAAGAGAAGAGCAGGGAGAGAGCTTATGGGGAGGTCTTGTTCGTATGCAAGCCATGAAGGGGTGGCGGCGGTGGTTTTACCTGGATATGCATCTTTCCAATACATCAATGCTCTAGAATTTGCAGCCCAATAGGAAATTAGGCAAACTGAGGCCTCCCACAAGTTTGGACAATAGAATCTAATAACTTAAAAAAGGCTTTGGGTATAAATATAGGTACATTTTGGAAGAGGTAAAGGAACCTGGGAAGTGCCACCATTTTAATTGCATCAACACGACCTATCATAGACAAAGGCAGCAGCCTCCAGGTTTCAATGTTGGACTTCAATTTTTCTATCATATTCAGATAGTTCAGCTGATAAATCAGTTTGGGATCTTTGGGGACAACAACACCTAAATACTTTATTTTATCTGTAGCAATGTGAAAGGGTAAGTTTTTAAGAGAATTTGAGTCCAAGTCTCCTGTAAGAGGCAAGAATTCACTTTTGTCCCAGTTTATAGAGTAACCAGAAAGTACACCAAATGTTTTAATGAGGTCTAACAGGGGAGGCAGGGATTCTTCTGGACGTGAAAGGAACAAAACCGCGTCATCTGCGTAAAGCGATATGCGATGATCAACATTACCTAAGATTAACGGGACAATGGAGGGATTATTTCTTATAACCTTGACGGTAGGAACGCTGTAATGACAAGGTAGGTGATTTATCATAGTTAGTGATAACTGAGGCAGTCGGAGAAGCATAAAGCATTTCAACCCAGGAAGCAAAGTTATCGCCCAGGCCCAACTCCTTTATCATTGTTAAAATGAACTTCCATTCAACCTGATCGAAGGCTTTCTGGGCATCAAGAGCTAGGACGGAAATGTTAGAATCTTTGTCATATCTGGAGTACATTATATTCATCAGTCGTCTAACATTAAAAAAATAAAATCTCCCTGGGATAAATCCAGTTTTGTCATGATGAATTATGTTTGCAATACTTTTAGTAAGTCTGTTTGCGAGTATTTTAGTAAACACCTTAAGATCACAGCCGAGAAGGGCGATAGGACGATATGAGGCTGGATCGGTCTCATCCTTATCTTGTTTCAGTATCAAGGAGATGTTAGCTGAGTATAAAGATTCAGGGAGTAGACGGGTTGCAATAGAATGATTCAACATACGCAACATGATGGGAGCAACCTTGTCAGAGTGCGCCTTGTAAAACTCCATGCTAAATCCATCTGGGCCAGCGGCTTTCCGGTTTGGGAAAGAACGTATTGCCTCTGTGACTTCCTCTAATGTTAAGTTTGCATTTAAGTCTGTTTGTGCAGAGTAGCTCAGTTTCGGTAGGTGGAGAGCGTGAAGGAATTGAGAAATTTGTGTGGTATCAGCAGTGATCTTCGAGGTGTAAAGGTCTTCATAAAACTTACGGAAACATTCATTAATTTCTTTTGGGTATGTGGAAATGATCCCAGCTTTGGTTTTAATTTTATGAATCGTTCTACTAGCCTGAATGCTTCTAAGCTGGCCTGCCAATAACTTATCTGGTTTGTCAGTCAGTTCAAAGTATTTTTGTTTTACCTTTAAAAGCATCTTACTCACTTGGTTAGAAAGAATAGAATTATATTTGAATTTCAGTTGAAATATATGGTGAGGCAGTCATTCTGCAGTCACTTTCAAGCGCTGACAGCTGAGCAGTGATTTCTGACAGCTCCTTCTGTCTGTCTTTCTTCAGTTTTGCCTCGTAGGATATAATATGTCCTTGCATAACAGCCTTGAAGGCTTCCCATAAAGTAGAGTCAGTCACATCAGGAGTACCATTGTGGGATAGATAGTCTGTCATTAAGTTGGCTGTATGTTGAAGGTATCGTATATCATTAAGTAATAATGGATTGAATCGCCAGTTAAATACAGGCTTTGCTCTACCAAAATCTATTTTTAGTTCAACAGGGCTGTGATCAGAAATTAAAATGTTGTTGTGGTATTTGGTAGAAATTATATCGGAAGTTAATTTAGCATCTATTAGGAAATAGTCAATTCTTGTATACGACTTATGCACAGGTGAAAAGAAAGAGTAATCTCTATCAGTCGGGTGCTGTAACCTCCAGATATCAACAAGCTTCATAGAACTTATTAAATTATTCAGGGCTGTGGTCGAATTAGAAGGAGTAGTAGGACGAGTGGAGAGCCTATCAATAAAGCAGTCTAGAATAGCATTGTTGTCACCTCCTGCAATTAAGTGTGTGTTTGATAAATCTGGGATAAGATTAAAAACTTTCCTAAAAAATCCAGGATCATCAAAATTGGGTGCATATATGTTTAAGAAAGTTACATGTCGTGACAAAATGTGGCCATTGACAATGAGATAACGGCCGTTCGGGTCAGAGATGGTAGAAATATGTTCATTATGTTTATTATTTATACATAAATTACTGTGGCATATAAACAACAATATTGGCGTTGGTGCAGAGTAAAAGAGCATAAAGTAAATGTACAACAGAAAAACAGAAAAACATAGTCTAAATCCCTTCCCCCGTCCACCCAAACGAAGTGGAACACGAGTTCCCTCATGTACCTTGAGAGGCAGCTGAACACTACAAGGAAGTTCTAAAGCCAATGAAAGTAACATGGTTACCTTAACGGTGGACTCCCTGAACAGTCCCATCCACACTCATGTGTCCATAACACTTGCTCTTGTAAGCGAAATAGAGCAAATCTTAGTTCGTAACAAAACTGGGAAACCAGAGAACCACAGGCTCCTCTAACACACCTGGAAATAGTAGCGAGGTGACCACACTCAGTGGCTCAGGTCCGCTAAGGGGTGGTGGTGGGTGTAAAAAACCTGTCTATGAACG